AAAATCTCCACCTATGACTGCACATTTGTCTTATCTTTCCATTCAGTGCCATCAGTGTTTACTTTATATATTTTGAAATTATGTTATTAAGTGCATACCCATTTAGGGTGTTTTTTTAAAAAATATATATATTCCTACTGAATCGTAATTTTATCATTATGTAATATACCTCTTTATTGTTCATGATACTTCTTACTGTAAAGTCTACTAAATCTATTTTGTCTGATATTAATAAACCCACACCAAAGTTCTTGTGGTTATTTTTGCATGGTATGGCTCTTCATTCTTTTCTTTCAACTTTTACGTGTCTTTATATTTATAGTGAATGTCTTATAAACAGGATGCATATGGATCTTTTTTTTATCAAGTCTGACAATCTCGGTCTCTTATTTGGAGGTTTTGTTTGTTTTTATCAATAGATTATTTTATTGAACCATTTTAAATTTACAGAATAATTAAGCATTAGAACAAAGTTACCATATACTCCCTACACACAGATTCCCTTATTATTAACATCTTACATTAGTATGGCACATTTGTTACAATTAATTAATAAATATTGATACTTTATTAACTATTTTATTATTAACTTTATTATTATTAACTTTATTAATAATGATACTTTATTCATATTTGCTTAGTTTCTTACCTAATGTCCTTTTTCCGTTCCAGGATACCATTCATTATACCATATGACATTTAATTGTCATGTCTACTTAGATTCCTCTTGGCTGTGATTGTTTCTAAGATTTTCCTTGTTTTCCATGACTATATTAGTTTCCTACAACTGCTGTAACCAAGTGCCAAAAACTGAGTGGCTTAAAACGATGCAAAATTATTCTCTCACAGTTTTAGAGGCTAGAAATCCAAAATAAATGTGTCAGAAGCATCATTCTCCTTCTGAAGGCTCTAGGAAAGAACCCTTCCTTGCTTCTTCCTAACTTCTAGTGGTTGCCAGCAATCTTTGGCTTGCTGCCACATCACTCTTTCACATTGTTGTTATTGTTGTGTTTGCCATCAAGTTAGACCCGACTGACCTTGGGTTTCCAAGGTGGTATCACTAGGGAAGTAGATTGCCCAACCTTCCTTCCGAGGAGTGGCTGGTGGGTTTGAACCGCCAGCCTTCTGGTTAGCAGTCAAATGCCTTAGGCACTATGCCACCAGAGCTCCCTCTTTCACATTAGAGTATCTATTTAATTTATTTGGGCGCTCTGGTGGCATAGTTGATTGCTAGTCTCATCATGGGGAATAACTACCACCAGCTGCCCAGCCATTCAACCAGGCCCAGCCAAATTGCCACACAAACTTAACCACCACAGTCCAATACTACTTTATTTATTTTGTTGCTCTAAGTATTTCAGCTTTAGCCATTGGGAGCACTTACAGTTGGCTCCTGTGCCCTTTCACTTTTTCCCATCAATAGCTTGTTTTTGAGCATTTCCTGACTTTCAGGCACTATGGGATACTTCCAAGCTTATTTTATATATTTTCTGCCACATTGCTAGAATCAGCCAATTCTCCAAGAAGTGCAAACCAAAAAAACCCAAACCCATTGCATTCAATTCCAACTCACAGCAACCCTATAGGATAAGGTAGAACTGCCCCGTAGGATTTCCAAAGCTGTAATCTTTATGAAATCAGATTGCCACATCTCTTTCCTGTGGAGTAGCTGGTTCGAACCGCCAGTCTTTTTTGTTAACAGTCAAGCAGTTCACCACTGTGCCACTAAGGCTCCTACCAAGGATCCTCCCCAGGAGTCCAAGCTCCCTTTATTATAGAATGGTATTAGAAACCAAGATCTGGGTGCTTGGTGTGCTTATTACTATAGAGTTGTCATTTCTTTTAGACTCTCTCAGCTAACAGCAAAGAAAAGTATTTGTGTATACTAACTTGTGTATATACACATATCTATAAATGTCATACATGTAACCATCTGTATCTATATTATGTTAAACATGACTTTTTTATTGTGGTAAAAATACACATAATAAAACATTTGCCAATTCAATAATTTTCACATGTATAATTCAGTGACACTGATTATATTTATCATATTATAAAACCATTATCACTATCTCTTTTGAAATTTTACAACCATTAACAGAAACTCAGTGTCTCCTAAGCAATAATTCCCCCTTTCTGTCATCCATGGTAACCACTAATAAGCTTTGGTTTCTATATATTTGCTTATTTCATTTAAGTGAGATCATACAGTATTTGTCTTTTTGTGACTGATTTATTTCACTCAGCCTAATTTTTCAAGATTCATCCATGTTGTAGCATGCATTATGACTTCATTTCTTTTTGTAATTGTGATTTGGGTAAAAGTTTACAGAGCAAACTGTTTTTTTTCTTTCAACAATCCATACACATTTTGTTCTGTGACAATTATTGCAATCCCCACACTGTAACAGCATTCTTCTCACTTCTTCCCTCTGCCCACCCTTCATTCTTCCTTCCCATCCCTGCCCACCTTCCCAGTTCGATCTCTGGGCAAACACTGTCCTCTTGATCTCATATGCTTGATTGTTCTAATGAGTGCATACTCTCCTACTATTACTATTCACCTTATAGGCCTATTGTTTGGCTGAAAGTTGAGTCATGGGAGTAAATCTCAGTTTCTAGCTTAAAGGATATCTAAGGGCCATAGTCTCAGAGGTTCCAGGAATCTTCATCAGAACAATAAGCCTGGTCTTTTTTATGATTTTGAGTTTTGATACACACTTTCCCCGACTCTGACCAGGATCTCTTATTGTGATCCATTTCAGAGTGGTCAGCAGCGGTAGCTGGGCACCATCTAGTTCTTCAGCTCTCAGAGTTGTTGAGGCTGGGATTCACATGTTCCATTAGTCCTTTGGGCTAATTGTCTCCTGTGTCTTTGATTTTCTTCACTTTTCTTTGCACTGGGTTGGGAGAGACCAATAGTAGTAGCACCTTAGATGGCCACTCAAGAGCTTTTAAGACCTCAGTCATTACTCACCAAAGGAGGATGTAGAACATTGTCTTTGTGGACTATGTTATGTCAATTGACCTTAGTGTCCCCCAAGACTACAGTCTTGAGCCTCCATACTGGGAGACTTATTCCCTCAAGGTGTTTGGTTATGACCAAGAAGCACTTCATTCTTTTTATGGCTGAGTAACATTCCATCGTATGTATACACTACATATTGTTTATCAATTCATCTCTTGGTGAACATATCAGTTGTTTCCGCCTTTTGGCAATTCTGAATAGTGCTACAGTGGACACTGGTGTACAGGTTTTAGTTTGTATTCTTGTTTTCAATTCTTCTGGGAACATACCTAGAAGGGAATTGCTGGGTCATATGATAGTTCTATGTTCAACTTTGTGAGGACTTGTCAAACTTTTTTTCCACAGTGGCTATACCATTTTGCATTCCCACCAGCAATGGATAAGGGTTCTAATTTCTTCACATCCTCACCAACCAACACCTGTTATTTTACTTTTTTTTATCACAGCCATTCTAGTGGGAGTGAGGCAGTATCTCATGGGGTTTTGATTTGCATATCCCCAGTGGCTAATGATGTTAAGCATCTCTTCATGTGCTCGTTTGGTCATTTGTATACCTTCTTTGGTGAAATGTGTATTCAAGTCCTTTGCCTATTTTCCCATAAACAATCAGAAAATATTTTGTTGTCTTCTTGTTGTTAAAGTCAACTGATTTTTTTAATAAATGTGACAAGGAGATTCAATGGGAAAAGGAAGTCTCTTCAACAAATAATTCTGGAACTGGATATCCATAATGAAAAAAATGAGTATCAATCGGTATATCACACTATATACAAAAAATGTACCAAAAATATATGAGTAGCGACTGGGGTCTTAAAAGCTTTCAAGCAGCCATCTAAGATACACCTAATGGTCTCCTAGCATGAGATGCAAAGAAGAGTGCAAAAAAACAAGGGCATTTGGAAGCAATCAGCCCTCAGATACGATGACCCTCGAGACCAGAAGAAATAGATGGTGCCCGGCTACCAATGCCAATCACTCGGGAAAGGATTAAACCTGGAGATCCTGGATAGAGTGGGAGGAAAAACGTGAAACAAAATCCAAAAACTCAATAA